AGCTGTACCCGTGCCCCAGGCCGGACGGTGCCGAGCTGCCACCCCGGCCGCGGCACCGGCGCTCCGGCAAACCTTGCGCCGTGCTTCCCCGGGACCTGCGCGGGGCAGGGCGGCAGCGCTTCGGCCGCGCAGCCCCGACCTCCTCGATGCCCTGATGGTGTTCCGATCCGGGCGGGAAGGCGTTCCTGCGTTCCTGGTCTACTCCCTATCACTAAGCGGGAAGTTCATAGGACTGATTTTTAATATTTTTTGGAGAAGGATGCAAGAATTGGGCGCTCTGAGCACTCCTCTGGTTGCGTGACAGGACAGTAATCCCTGCAGACACCAACTCGCATGTTTACTTTCTTCAAGGTGAGCGTGATCACTTGGGAACTACAACCTTCCCTTCCACGCTATGCCACTTAGCTCCCTTTCTTCATTTTTCAAACCAAGCCATTTTCTTCAATGATGTTTTCCAGTGACACAACCTGCGGCCATTTGCTCGTATTTACTATCTCCTCAGTCACAACGTCTTCTCCTTAATAAAAACGTATTTAAACTCAATTCTGTGGTGCTTTGGGTTTGTTTTTTTTTTTTTCCGAAAGGTGTTCAAACCCTGGCGAGTTCTGCGTTATTTGTATGGCCTAGAAAGCCACCACCACCATGTCAACTCTGCAGGACATAATGCAAATTATTCTGTTCCCATTCAACAACCTCACTGACACGCAGTGACCAATGGATCCATCTCAGCGACCAACGGATCCATCTCAGCGACCAACGGATTCATCTCAGCGACCAACGGATTAATCTCAGTGACCAACAGATCCATCTCAGCGACCAACGGATTCATCTCAGCGACCAACGGATCCATCTCAGCGACCAACGGATCCATCTCAGCGACCAATGGATTCATCTCAGTGACCAATGGATCCATCTCAGTGCCCAACAGATCCATCTCAGTGCCCAACAGATCCATCTCAGTGCCCAACTGATTCATTCATCTCAGCCATCAGCTGCCAATCCAACAGGTTCATCGCAATTTTACGTGATACAATTCACCTGGGCAGACTTTTTTTTAAGATACCAGACACTTTGGCAAACCTTACTACACCCCCACCTGCAGCCTGACCTACTCATCCCTAGGAGCAGACCCTCTGAAGAAGAATAGCACAAATCCGTGTTTCTGACGGAACAGCAGACCCCACGTTCCCAGCTGCCCAGGGGTCGGGTGCCCGCTGGTCGCTGCTGGAAACGCCGCTTCGCCCTCCAGCGCTGGAAGCAGGTGAGGCTCAGCACAGGAGGAAAACAGAACAGCAGCTCTTTGCCGTGCCCGCTCCTCCCCCAGGGTTTGGTATTTTTTTTGAGAGTGTGGGATTTATGATTTTCTTTGAGATTCATCAAAATAATTACTTTACAACCATTCCCTGCCTGTGAAACCCAGGTCTCTTCCTACTTGACGTCCCCGGGTAGCAGCAGCCACGGGGCGCTTCGGCCAGCGCGCATGGGCCACCGCGACCCTTCCTGCAAACGCTTGGCATCTCTGAGTATCTTAATCCCGCTTTATTCCCCTCGGGACCCCTTTCTCACCCTCTTCCAGTCCACACCACCCGTCGCACTACAAAACCCTGGGGTGAATCCAGCCCCCACGAAGGCAGAGGCCGGGGGCTGAAGTTGGGGTCAGTATCGAACTTCTCTCCGCTCTGCCGGCGCAGCTCGATTTTGGGCCCCAACCACGGATGCCAATTCTTGTCCCCTCCGTCAGCAAGCGATCTGCTGTTCCGACAAAGCGACTGGTACCTTCTGATGGCCATTCTCTTCCAGCATTTCAAGCGAACTTGCATCTCAAGTTCGAGTCTGAATGTATTAATAATTCTAAGTGTTAAAAGCATTTTGCAGCAAAAATTCAGGCACTTTTGGCATGAGAAAATGAGAAATGGGGCTTTTTGAATAGCCTGCTGCAAAGCACTCAAGCCTGGTACTTTCACAAATAGGTACGAAAACATGTGAGGTTTACCGTCCTTATCACCCCCACAAAACCAGCTCCTTATTTTTGAAAAAAATAGAAATGCTAGGAATAGCTAAGGGAACTGTAACGCTATTGAGGTACACATAAATTTCTGGAAAAGGCTTTCTATGGTTTTTAAACGTATTATATATTTAAATACCATACTTTAAACTAAACTAGAACATGAGAGAAAATTCAATAGCAGCATGAAAATTGAAAATCGCTATTGAGAAATCCCTTTTTATGATTATTTACATCGCTCGTTGTACCTCCAGATGCCCAAGGCATGGTTGTCCGCTGCCAAGTCTTCGCTCCTACATACCTTTACCAGGAGGAGGGATGCGGGCTGTACCCACCATACAACACCCAGAAATCACCCCCAGTCAATTTCTGAATTAGTAAAGAAATAGAAAAACGAGGGCAATTTCGCTGGAAAAATCAAATGAATGGGTACAAGTGGTTCAGGCAACGCGCCGCAGCTGTGTCTCTGGAAAAAAAAAATAAATAAGGAAAAATCCCAAGCCAGTTGTTTTCTCGGGAAAAAATGCTGCCTATGAGGTGGGGATCTGCAGGCTTCCTGCAAGGCGCGGGGATCACCAGGCAGCAAGAGGACAGGCAGGGGGGGGGAGCCGGGCGCCCGGCCCTCGCAGCGGAGAAGGGAGCGGGGCTCGGCGCCGGCAGCCCTGGGGGACCCGTACCGAGGGTCCGCGAATGAGTGGAAGTGCCAGCACCACCATCCAAGGGGAGCTGAAGCCTGACTGCTTGCGGAGTAGCACCGATATCGAAAGTATTCCTACCAATAAATAGAAAGGTACCTAATGCAGGGGGCTGCGTTTTATAGGAGAGCGGACGGCACAACCGTTGTCTCAGAGATCCCTTCTGCAAAAAAAGCGGTGTATTTCTTCTTAATGAGCTCCATCTAATGGCTGAGTTGGTTTTTACACAGCTCATAGAAGTTTTGTGGATCTCTTATGCTGAATTTAAGAGAAGATGACAGCACCTTTCCCACCTTAACCATAACGCAGAGCAGATTTGCTTGAAAGAAATTTAGATTTTCCTGCAGAATGGTTAAAGCAGCGGTTTCTGTGGCACATACGGCTTTTAAATACATCAGTATTTTTGCTTTTTCCCCCTACCGTTGCAGCCAGGGCAGTATGCCACTACTAATTCCGCACCTCCAGACTGAGAGCAGCTGCCCTGTGCAAGCACAGACCCGGGGGCAGCCAGCATTAAAACCGTGCCCCAAGGAGGATTTCGTTTTTAGCAGCTTGTGCCCAAAATATTCAAAGGAAAGCGAGCGGCACAGCGGGTTTTGTATCAGGAAGGGTCGGTCCCCACGCCTCTGGGGGGGAAAGAGCCGAAAAGGGGGGGAAAGAGCATTTTGTGAGGAGCCTTGCCTTGGGCTGATGCTTGGGAAAGGGGAGCGCCGGGCTGGAGCGAGAGCATCCCCCAGCGTGGGGGTTCCGGCAGGGAGCTGAAACGCAGCCTGGCTTTCTGCGCCCCTTGTGCCTAGCGAGGGCTGGGCTGCTGAAAGGTAATATTAAAAATAATTTTTAAATTAATATTTATCGAATGTTTGAAATTTATCCTTTAAGGTACTGCTGAGAGAAACTTGCAATATTCCAATTTAAGAGTCTGAAAACCTGACTTCGTAAGTGAATATTTTAGGACCTTTGTGGATTCAAGATCAAGGCCCGAACGTTTCCTTGCTCCCGCTCCCTCTGGGATGCTAGGCAGCGGCTCACAGCGGTCCCTAGGGGGAACTGGTCCCTGCTCTGTCCACTTTTCATACAAACCCTTCATTGTTTCGCAGAGATTTGCCCGGGGCACCTGAGAAGGAGGAGACATTTGCCCCTTGGGTTTGGTGACGTTTAATTTCCCACGGAGATGGATCGGGACCCTGCGGCACCGACTCCATGTCCTCGGCCGCCGGTCAGCACTTCGCTCCTCAGCTTCTCTTCAAAATAAACTCAAACTGATTAAAAATCAATTGCCATCTGCTTGCAGGAACGAAACGAAGGAGGACGCAAGATCTTCAATCGCAGGTGTTAGCTGCAGGCATGAACATCCTCAAAACCACCTACAAATTATCAAACTATGCATGCATTTTGTGCAAGAAGAATCTTCCTTATTAAAGAGAAAAGCGGTTTAAGCTCAAACGTTAAACTCAAGAATGTATGAAAAGCTACCAAATAAGCTGCACCTCAGGGGTATGGGGTCTCTTTCTGCTTGGCAGCTCCCCCGGCTGCACGTCTCACCATGACGTGCCGGAAAGGTCCTGTCTGGAAGAAAAGTGCTCAGACCTTTGGGCAAATTCCACCGGGCCAAACTGCACGTGCGCATTTCGAGGCAAAAGCTTAACAACGAACGGTCTTCATTTTCATCTGCTGTTTCCCGTCTCATTTAAGCAGAAGAATTATTCGGCCACAAAATACTGAGATATTTACATGTATTTGGTATTAATTTTACAACCCCCCCACAAGCCACCAAATTTCTTCAAGCTGCACTCCCTCTCCAAACCCAGCAGAAGCCGCCCCCCCGCCCCACAGCAGGGTCAAGCTAAGCGGGTGACTGGTGCACGGAAAAAGAGTAGACACAATTTAAATCCAGAGCTAGTAATCTATAAGGGCCAGCAGAAATAAACAGGAAAAACTGTAACTGAAAAATAAATAAATGTTGTTCTCTGTTTTGTTTATATAAAGAACACGGAATACTTCTGTACGTTTGCACGGGTGCCAAACACCGCCAGCTACTAGAAATGAGCTTTTTTTAAACAACAATTGACTTTTTTTCACCCCTCTACAAATAAAATTCTGTGGGAACACAGTTTAAAACCTGGTGGTTTAGCTGAGTTATGTTGCACTCCCGATTCCATGCCACGGCAGGAGGCACCGTCGGCACGGCACAGCATGGCACGGCATGGCACGGCATGGCACGGCGCGGCATGGCACGGCACAGCATGACACAGCATGGCACAGCACGGCACGGCACAGCATGGCACAGCACAGCATGGCACGGCACAGAAGTCGTCCGTGCGGATCTCTTTGTCAGCCGTGTACGAAAACACCTGGAAAGAGAAAACCATGGCGGTGACAGAGCATTAGCAAAAGTCCATCCCGACCGCCGACGGGGAAGATACATAATCTTCGCTCCAGCGGAGCAGAGCCACTGCCTTCTCCAAGCAGTGAGGCGGTGGTGCCTTGGATTTTGGGAGAGTCCCATGCGGGTTCCTCCGCTGGTGAACGTCTCTTGTACGTAAGAGACGGGAAAGAAACTTGACGGGACCAAGCCCAGGAATCACCCAGGCACACATTCCGTTGTACCCCCTGGGAATTCCACAGAAGCACCTAACTGTGATCACTGGCTCGCGGAGGAATTTTCACCGATCTTTCAAGACAACAGATAAACCAAGCCCGTCGTTGGAAGAACCCGAACTTTCCTAATCTAAGTCCTCCCCCTCGTATCTACCTTAACTTTGGGCAGCAAGGATGATCTTACTAATGATTTAAAGATGCATAGGCATGAATATTCCAGAAATATGGTGCCTCTTCATAAAATTAGGAAGCAAATTAAGACTCAAGAGAACAATCCATCAACAAACTCCTGTCAAAGCAGTTCCAAGTTTCAGAGGACCTGCGCAGCTTCAGGCTTGCCTTGCAGAAAATCCTTCCCTTAGCAAAAAGTGAACTATTTCCATCCTGCCCCCTCTCCTCGGCAGGAGGAGACCAGAGAGCCCAGGACCCTCCATCCCTCCGCAAACAGCCCCTGGCTGCTGCCGGAGCTCAGGCGGCTGCAGCACCGCTGCGGGGGGGGACATGGCCACCGGGGAAAGCCTGCAGTTAACAAAATAACGGCAAAACCGTGACAAACGGCAGAGTTCCGATGCCCCGTTCAGGTTGTGATGAGTACAGATCTGTATCTGCGCCTGCAACGGACAAACGCTGCTGTCAAACCCACGCCAAATATTTCCTGATGTGGAAACACTTAAATTAGCAGAGAATTATAATAAAAGCAGGGGCAAATAGAGCATGTGGACATACGCCTCTGTTACCGGGTGATTTCCGAGCTCCTACACAGCCCATTCCTCTGGCAAAAGGACTACGGTATCATTAGCGCCGAGATCTGAGCCACAAATAACGCAGCGCCCTGGGGGATGTCCCTCCACTGAGACTTCCAGGGAAACATTAAACTGTGCTCAAGGAAGAAGAATCCATCCAGCAGCAAAGGAAAACTTTGCCAGTGAATTAAGCAGGGGGGGGATACGATGTCACCCGGGAATGTGAGGCGCGGCGGCGGCGTGCTCGTAGGGTTAATTCTCCCCACGTAACTCTTCAAAGCCTACGTACTGCACGGAGTGGCCACAGGAATGAAGGAAGGATTTTGAAGCTGGAAGTTCAGGCAAGTCATAGAATCATAGAATCACTTTGGTTGGAAAAGCCCTTTAAGATCATCGAGTCCAACCTTTAACCTACCCCTGCCATCCCACCACTAAACCCTGTCCCTCAGCACCTCATCTCTCCTTCTTTTAAATACCCCCAGGGATGGGGACTCGACCACCTCCCTGGGCAGCCCCTTCCAGAGCCTGACAGCCCTTTCAGTGAAGAAGTTTTTCCTAATGTCCAACCTAAACCTACCCTGAAGTCCTTCAGAGCAGTCTTGGCGTATGAAGCCAGCTCGCCAAGGCAGCAGGGGAGCAGCCAGGTCCAAATCAAAGCCGCAAGGGAGAGCAGGAGCTGCTAGGGTCAGTGGTCCTGCTCTTTGCCAAATTTCTTATTCACCGCTCCGCCTGGGTGAAAATCTGGGATCCAAAGGTAGGGCAAAGCACCAGCGGCCTCTGGCATTTATTCACCCAGCGGTAAATCCCCACGATCAGACCCCAGGGGCTCTAAGCGCTGCTTTCACTTAAAGCCCCACCAGCCACGGGCCCACACGTGGGCTCCTCTCCCATGGCGAGGCAGACTATGAAACACCAAGCGGCCAGCGCTCTGCTGCCATCGCGCCTTGTCCTTCTGGAAGGGGGTGGCACGAGCCCCCGGCACACCAAAAACGCCACTTGGCGTTCATACGGGTGTTTTCTACGTTTCCCTTCCCCACTTCTCCGTGTGCAGAAGCAAGTCCCCGAGCCTTCAAAAAAACCCAATAACCCCATATAACCTCTTCTCTGTCTCACCAACACCAGTCTTGCCAAGGGGCTGAGAACGCCGCCTGTGTTCCAGCTTGTTCAGCCACGTTCTGGAAGTATTTGGCGAAGAGAATTCATGGCTGCGGGCTGACCGAGGAGGAGACATGGGTGTCACCTGGAAAAGCAGCGCTAACCGTGTCCAACTCCGGCAAATCTCAGCCAGCACTAACGCATTCACAGATATACTCCAGCACGTTAAATCCATGGCAGTAGAAGCCGCTTTTTTTCAAATTTTCAAATTCATACGATTTGTCACGCGTGCACTTCCCAAGTTTCAGTTTGTGCCCTGAATCGGCGAGTTCTTCCCAACTGTTTTTCTTTTCTTTTTGTAATAGTCGGATGCCTGCCTACACCTTGCCCCTGGCAAGCGAAAACCAAACCCTGGTGAAAGAGGTCTACATCCGATCAGACCCCCGGCTGGTTTCCCGTGCGGAGGTCCGACAGATGGACATCCTCGCTGAGCTGGTATTAGCACACCAGGCTAAGTTCATGGGAGTGAGTAAGGTTACAAAAAAAGAAAAAAAGAAAAAAACCAGGATCATTTGTGAGGTTTCATCAAAAATTGCGCAAGAACAGTCCAAGTTCTGGACTGAACTGGAGCCTGAAGGTTTTATAAAAAAATACCCAACCATTTATGACCTTCTCATTTTTATTAACTTCTGAGAAGTCTCAAAACAAAGCAATGTAACAAGGAAATCACCCTTCTTCAACCGCTCACCAACACCTCCGAAAATCCCCTTCCAGATCACGGTTTTGAAATGATTTTTGGAATAATAAGCACAGAAGTCAAGAAGGATGAGAATTTGGGAGAAATCAATGAACAACCTAAAACAGGGTCCAAAGCCACTATTGGTGCTGCAGCATTCGGCTGCGGTACCTATACATACCTCCATAGGTACAGCCCTCTCTGCCAGGAGGGGTACGGCTCTCTCCCTAGAGGAGTTTATTTCATTTCCACGTGAAGCACGGCCTGCCTGTCCGCTGCTGCTACTCAAAGCGCGCTGCTCGGTATTCAGGCTCCCAAGTGCCGCATCCTTAAAACCATCCTTGGTCAAAAGTAGCCTAAGACTGGATCGGGGAGAGAAAGGTGCCATGTAGCTGATGTACTGGAGACCGGGGCTGAAACAACCGCTGTTCAAACCCAGATCCTACAGCAACGTCCAGCTACCAAGCCACCGTCATTAATATTCAACGAGAAAACCTTTTGGGAGAGGCTTTGGTTTTTCCCTTAAACACCTTCAGCCAAAAATCTTACTTACTGGTAGAACCCGGGACTTACTTGCCTGCGGTCATGCTGCAGCTGGAACAAAACCATGGCCAAATAATCTCATAATCTGAAAATCACTGATACCGTTTGTAGCACCAAGTATCTCCCACTCAAGGAGCAGTTTGGGTTCAAGAGTCGCTCACATGAATATACTGTACAGGTTTTTCATCTTCTACTGTGCTCATTACGAAGAGATTTATCCATTCAGATTTATCCTGAAGCAACTTCTAACTCCCGGTTTATTTGGGTTGTTTTTTTACAGTAAACATGTTTGCATCAGGCACTTTCCTCTAGCCTCGGAGACGTGGGTTTAGCCCCAGAGAGATGTTTTCTTCTGCGTTTTACAGAAAGCAAATACTTATATTCGGAAATGTACTTCCATTTGCATATTTCTTTTTCCTCTCATCTTTGATAATTGCAATTCACTGTTCCATTATATCTTTTGAAAGACTAAGGGGTGTCTGAATTAACAATTACAGAAGAGGGGTTTGACAAATACGCTGTCTCAAGGAAGAAAAATGAACGCTAATTAAGACGACGCAAAATGATCAGGCTGGCATTTTGCTACCATCCATATTAATTATAGCTGTAATTATATTAATGCCATATAAAAATAGCGGGTGAGGAACACGTTGCGTTTCATAGCTAATTAAAGAGTGTATTTCAGGCCACGTGGGACAGGCCGAGCAGGAGTCCAGCCTTCTGCTGCCGTCAGCCCCCGCCTTGGGGACGTCCCCGACCTCCCCGCTC